TTATTTTATTTTATTTTATTTTATTTTATTTTATTTTATTGGTTTTGCTTCTGACATGTGTGATTTGTTTGTATAACTACCTGGAATGTATGTGGAGTTGCTACTGGAGGAGACATATAGCCCTGATCCAGCCAGTGTGTGGCTGAGTGAGTAAGCCATCTAAATTATACCTACAGAGTAGATAGGTCACTGCCAATCACTGTGAGGGACAGAGCCAAAGAGCACTTGTGAGAAAATATGTAGAGACAGTCCTTGGGAGAAGGACTGAAGCTTTCTCAGGCATTTTATTTTGAAGAAATGCAATGCCTCCCTCTCTTCTTCCCCTTTCTCTCTCTCTGGGAAAAAAATATCTAAGTTAGCACTTTACTTCTCCCACTGCAATCTGACACAAAAGACCTTCTCAAATAAATCACTCGTGCAGTTGTCTGGTATGACACAGTGTCAGATGCTGTCTTTTTGATAAGTTCATTTTCTAAGCAATTTGTTTAACCCTTTTTATAGACATTGTTTTCTCTGATTAAGATGTGAGTCATTTTCAACACATGAGTACTTCAGGGAAATGTCACACTTGTTGCTTTTTTCTCTGCTTGCCTTGCTTCGCCATATGATTTTTATAAGCCAAAAGACAGAGTTCCTCCTTTGGTTTGTTCCATTCTGCTGACAACTGGCTGTTGTTGGCTCTAATTGGGCTACTCTATAGGCTGATCTTGTACTTGTTATAAGGCTGGTGAAGTATTTGGTAAAGACCCCCCCAAGAGTATCGAGTAAAAGGAAGAGGCTCTTAGGAGCCCGTTTGGAAGGGTACCACTCATCAAATTTGTGCTGCAATTGTAATTTCTTGTACTTCAGGAGTCAGTTCCAAGTTGCCTTAAAGTAGCCACCACCAATAAAATGAGGTTGTCTAGGAAAAATCAAACTGATCCTTCTTCCTCCCAAGGACTTGCTTTAGGATCCAAAAGCTGTCATTCACCAGAACAGATGGGCTGAGGGCTTGTAAAGGGTCTTGTTTGTTTTTTCTCTTGGGGAAAACAACCCTGTTTGCCATTTTACAAAAACCTCTTAGCAGTTTATATTGTAAACATCCTCGTAAATTCAAAGAAGTGTACCCAAACTGCTTTGGATTTTCTGTGACATCTGTGTCTGAGGGCCGCCAGGGACAAGTGTTTGCACCCAGGTGTGGTGACAGAAGGCAAGAGCAAAGACTGTGGCTATCTCAAAAGAAAGGTCCCCTCAGGAACTGACTTCTGAAGAAGCAAATGTAATTATTAAGAGTCCAGGGCACGCCTGCTGTCACAAGAGAGGAGTGTCCCAAGACTGTTCCAAGATACTGCAGCTGGTAGCTATAAAACCCTTATCTAATTCAATGTAAGCACAAGGCTCTTGTCTCCCTGTCACACTCCCTTCCCCTTCCCCTTTCTCTCCCTCTCTTTTTTGTTTAAAACTCTATAGAGACTTGAACTGTATACTTCAATGGTCTGATGATGTTTTTAAAAGGAAAATAAATTAAGAAGTTTTCTGAGTAAAGTGGTGCTGCCTTGTAGTACAATTTGGCTTGTGGCACACAGGTCCTTGAAAACCAGGTACCCTGTTTGTGATTTTAATCTTTCCCAAATGGCTGTGGTGCTACACCAGCATGAGCTGTATGCGTCTGGAAGGATAATCTAGGGGACCCTGTGTAGATCCCTCGGATTGCCTTTGAATGTTCTGTTCTTTTCTCTAATGAGTTACTGCTGGTTGTAAGCATGCTGTACTTCAAAGGCCGAAGGGCATTAATCATTCTCTTAAGGCTTATGTGATGAGAGATGTGGATGCTGGAATTGCTAGCATGGAGAGACAATTGGATCCTGGCCACTCCTTGTCAGGGTAACTTTGGAGCTCATACCCATAAAGGACCGAAGCCAAAACCCTTTTGTCAACATTTGGATTGGGGCTGAAGAAGAATGAGTGTGTTATGAAACTTTGCTAATCATGGGAATATTCCAGTCTAATTATGTCATCTAAACTTTTGAAATCTTCTTTGTTCTGTCTGTAGGGCCATACTGTGGTAATGTGATGCCCGTCCCCAAAGAAATCATTCTGGATAGCAATGAAGCAACTATTCACTTCAGGAGTGGATCCCACGTGTCAGGACGAGGCTTTCTGTTGTCCTATGCCAGTAGTGATCATCCAGGTAAAGTGAAATCAAAAAGCACTATTTCTAAAGGATTAGTGGCATAGACATCCTTCCCCCCCCCCC